GTAGACATCGAAGCGTCGCGACGCACCTTTTAACACTTTGCCGCGCAGCCGCTGAGCGGCTTATCCCACTCGAAACTTGGCCTTAACTTTTTACCAAGCCCTGCGATTCGCGTTTCGTAATTTGTTGCTTATCCTTTGACACTGCACTACAAACTTTATTATTGATTTGCGGACAACTTGGATGTTGTTGTTGTTGTTGTTGTTTTCTGATGCTGCCGGTGCTGTTGCGCTTTGGGCAACTCAAACTCGAGCAACGGTAAACGACAGATCTGGCGCACGACAAACTGGCAGCGTGCTCGACCCCGAGACCCGATCCGCAATGAAAAACAAGCGAGTGTAATGCGCGCTGGCAACAGGTGCAAACCGTTCGCATGCGCTGTCGCTCTCAAACTGCGGCACTCGCACATGCCACAAATGTTAAAATGCGCAGCAGTCGACTCTCTGCTTGCTGTTAACTTTTCCGTTGCCTGTTTTTAGGCTGCATTGAAAATGCATTATGCATTTACGATCAACATGCCTAATAATCTTTTTTTTTTATAATTTTGTTGGTTTAAAATAATCACATATATATGAATATTTTTCTCATATTATTTTCAATTATATATTTTCTTATTTTTAATATATTAATTCATATTATTTATTTACAGAATTGCATTATGTTAAAGCTTGCTGTTAGCTCAGGAATATTTATGTTATGTTCCCTAGCACGCTATTCAGCTACGACCCATAGGTGGCGCTTTTGATATTCGAAAGCGCCTAAAAGATGCAACAGTTTTTTGTCACCAGTTATTTTGCTCTGCTAGATCAGTCGTGATCAATTATTTTATGATCTATAAGATTATTATTGTTGATAAAAAAATAAAAAATAAATAAAAAAAATGTAGGACCTGAGAAAACGCAATAACAAACAAGGTCTCTTGTACGATCTCCTATTAATATGCTAATCAGGTTATCTTTAAGGCGAGATCTTGTGCTTGAAAATCATGTTTAAGAAGTAGAATTCGATGCCGTTGATACTTGGCTCACTGAGAGGACTTTTCATAATGAAAATACATTTATAAATACCATATTATAATGCATTCCATATAATTAGTGCCAATCAGAAGATATTTCCTCATAATATATATCTTATTAGCCCCAATGGATAATTGTGCTAAGAAAATTAACTAACTGTAACTACTAGGTCGATGTACATATATGAAAATATTTTCAAAATTATTATAACTAGTCCTAATTTATAATGCCATAAATGGACTTGCATCAGGGATGAGTTAGATAATTAGGAGAGAGTATTCACAGAAAATATTCACAATGAAATAAATTAAAGGCAGCCTACCAACAATTGTGCATTCATTGAATCGTACAATAAAACTGTAAATTATATATTATGGTCTAATTGTACGTTAAGTAGAGTAGAATGAGAAAAGTTCAAGGTCAAGTTGCATTTCCAAGACCACATATGGAGCGCAGCGCATGCCAGTTAGTTGGTCAATATGCTGAGTACGGCACAAGCAGCACTCGGTCGGAGTGCTTTGGTGGCTGGTCATTAAGCCAGAGACACGACATTAACGCGCTCTGCTGATGTCTGGTCTGTTTGCGGTCTGTGGGTTAATTAGGGATCAAAACAATGCGAGCGGAAATGTTTGCTCTTTTTTCCGAGCATTGACTTATGATTTATGAGTAGACACTGAAGACACTGAAGACACTCAAGAGCACTGCAGCGTGTGAAGCCGGCGCCCGGGGGGCCCCTCTTAAAACTTACCCCGTATTGCATATGAAATCAATGGGAATGCGCTTGTTCGCTTACCTGCAAAATAGGAAAATGGTTATCAGATTAAATGCGTATTAAATGTGGGCCCAAATGCGTATCGGTATGTATGTATGTATATGGATATGAGCTGCTTGCTATCACAAAATCAATTTGGCTAATTGCAAACATAATGGCCTCGTTTGTCGACACATTTCAACAGACACCAACGAGCCAGCTGCCAGCAGCTGACAACCGACAGCCGACAGCCGAGAACTGACAACTTTTTGACACGCAATCGACGAGCGATGTGGGAGCGTTTATTAGCCAAATAAAATAACCCCCAAAGTGTCATCAAATCAATGCAAAGTAGCACAAATCGAACTGGGAGAATGGAAAAACTTTGCCGAGGGGGAAACAACATTTGCAACAGCCCAGAGCCATTAGAGTCTTGGCTCTGAGAGCCAGCCAAACGAAAATGGGCAATTCTTTTGGCCATAAAACGTCGTAATAATGACAAAAGTTTGCCCCAGAGGCGGAATAGTAGGACACAGGTGTGTCCTTAAGCATGAAATAGTTTTTCTCCTGCCCTCGAGCTCGCCATCGACAACTCAAGCTGAAATCAATAAGTTTCTATTCCCAGTGGAGTGTAACTAGAGTGTAAACTCCGATTTAAAGAGTTCTCCTAGATGCCATATTAAAATCATTTTTCTATATTTACCCTACCATTTACATTTTTAACTTGTTTCCCTTTACATTTACATTTTCATTTACTGTTATACATAACTACAAATTTTTACGACTGACTACAAAAAGTATGCCAACGCTATAGACAATCAGCTGAAGCTGCAGAATATAAAAGCATTGTAGCATATTTTCTCTTGCTACAGTAAACACTCGAGCGTATGCTACAATTTTTTGTACATTGGCAACAAGTCTATGCCACGATTTATACGTACTGTGTGCTCTCGATAACTGAGGCCACGTTCTCGGCTATGTCACAGAGCTGTGTGTAAGTATGCATGTAGAGCGCATCTCTGTAGTATTTCTTGCCCTGCATCACTCTGTGCACATAGACTGCAGGATTTTCGTCTTTGAGCTTCTTTAGGCAGGGCGGGTTCGGCGTGTCATCCTTGAGAGTACAGAATCGATGTATTTCGGTCTTGAAGCAGCTCTCTTCGATGCCCATCATCAGGTCCTCCCACTCGTCGATGCCGTTGCCAATGCAGCCGCGCACATAGATGAAGCACGAACGCTCCCGCTCATTGCTGTGCTCGCAGTGCATCGGGGATTGCTGATCTCTGGTGCAGTGGAGCGTCGGCAGGATGTTAAGCAGAATCTGAAAGTACATCATACGCCTATTGGGCTCGGGCAGTCGTATTATGAATCGCTTGATGGTGTCCAAGCGCATATCCCACGCCGGCTCGCGTGGCATCTTCACTTCATTGTAGAGAGCACGAAGCGCTTCGATATCGTCAAACCGTTCACAATGATAGCCCACATTTTGGATATTGAACTGCTCCCGTTCGTCGAGTGTACGCTCGTACGGATGCAGCTGCTCGTGGGGCTTGATAAGTGGCGCCAGCTCGGCATGCAGTTGGGTCAGGCTGACAGTTCTCGCCTTGAGCGACTTGTCTATGACCAGATCCAATTGCTTGTTGATCTTCCACAGATACTCCGGTGGTGCAACGCATTTTCCAACTAACAGCAGCATGAGGCCATTGCGACGATTGCAAAAAATGTGGGGAAAGATTCGCAACTTCCAAAACTGTCTGGTCAATAATACCTCATTCGGCCGGTACATGACATTGATGATATGCACATCGCCCGGATACAATCGGAATTGGTTCCGCTCAAAGAAGAAACAACGGCGGCAATAGTGCATCGACGGATCGGCTAACAGCCATTCGCAAAACAAAATATTCTGTCCGATGTTCTCGAGGCGCATCACCTGCTTGAATTGCCGCTCGAATGGCGTACACTCAAAGTGGTACTCGAAGCGTGCAGAGGGGAACAAGGTGTCGCAATGGTCCTTAATGAATTCCCTATCGTTGACCCTGAGGCCCACACTGACGACCTTCGGCTCTAAGGGCACCTTGACAGGTGGCTTCTGGTCCTCTGCAGGTGAGTTCGTTTCGGTGATGCTGCTCACGGAATATAATGACTTTACTGCCACCAGATCTATATCCGATTGAGGCTCTCGGATTAAATTTTGATTACTGGCAATCACTTCGAGCTTTCTCATATCTGGAAAAAACTCGACGACACGATCAATATCCATATATTTCAAGTTGAGACTCTTTTCGAGCTCTTCCGAATTGATCCAACTGGTCTTGCCCTTGCGTGCGTTTTCCAGCCCAAATATTTCCTGATTAGTCGCGTTACTCAGCCCCGTGATTTCCAGATCAGCAACGCCCGAGCGTTCCGGCAGTGGCACCGTCTGCTGCACCTCTGGCACAAAGACACACTGCTTTGCATCCGAATGAGCGGGCAGAACGCCGTACTGCTGCGACACGAGGCGGGTGGGATTCAGGCGATCCGCGTAGTCTATTATACGGGTAATATTGCCCTTGTTGCGCTGATCCAATGTGCCGCTCTGGTTCAACAGCATCTGCTCGGGTCGGCGGCCGATGCGCTGATGGATCTTCGCCTGCACTCGGGCGCGATCGCGCAGTGTGTCGTGCCACTGCTTGAGCCGCTTGTCCATATGCTCGCTGCCCTCGAAGCCCGTCACGATCGAGCAACGCGAACTAGAGGCAACATATTTGCCCGCTTCCTTGTCGAATATCGAGTCGATTATGTCCTCAACTATATTCTTGCCATCCTGGCGAGTTACCTGCTTCAAATTGCCGTGCTCTCGGAAAAAATCGGACGACTTGGACTTGTTTGACAGGGTGTTAGCTTCGCTGACCTGGGGCCCTTGGTTCTCGCGTGCATATCTCAATCGATACAATCGATGGCTCTTCATGACTTAAACAAAGAATTGTGTTGCGATTTTTTTGTATTTTTTTATATTTTATATATACATACATTTTTTTTTTTTTTTACATATTTTGTTGAAATACATATACATATACAGAAACAAATGCCTAGCTGCTATTGATTTATAATTTTTCTGAAGCCGAAACGTGCCATACTTTGTTAAAATTCTGAAACTTGGGCAAAATTATATTTTTTTTTAGTTTTTTGTTGTTTTTTTTTTGTTTGATGTTTGGTTTTGTTTTGTGTGTGTGTGTGTGAGTGTGTAATTTGTTTTAGTTACATTTACTACTAGACATGCTCAGTGCTCTCGATGACGGAGACAATATTTTCGGCAATATTGCACAGTCTATAGAACGTGTATATATATATGGCGTCTCGAAGGGATTTCTTTTGTGCCCAGCTGCCCTTGGTGCATATCTGCGGCACAAACATGGAAAGCTGTTGCTCCCACAGCTCAATGCCGTTGGCGATGATGCCGCGCACAAAGATGAATTTCGTGCACTGCCGTTGCTTCAGCCTGTGAACCGAATCGCTCAGCTTGAGCGGCGTTGTTCGGCCACGCAGCGGCGCCAAGAGCGACTGCAGCTGCTCAAAGAGGCTGATGCGCTGTTGCGTGTCCCCTTTGATGCAGACCAGCTCAATTAGCAGGCTCACACTGTAGTCCCATTCCAGGCCACAGTTCTCTGGCCTCACCAAATAGAAAAACCTCTTCAAGTCTCTCATGTCATGCTCGCGCTCGCAATGGAAGCCCACGTTGCGCTGATTGAAGGCCTCATTGTCCTCCAGCTGTCTGACATACGGGCAGAGAATCGGCAGCGGCTTGGGCATCGCCTGTGGTCGCGCTACTCTTTTCGTCGCATACGTTCGATTCAGGAGCATTCTCTCTCGCAGCAACTGGAGGTACTCCTGCGGGGGCGTGCACTTGCCATGCATGTTGAGGGTCAGAGCATAGGGGCAGCGGAAGAATATGCGAGGACTTGTCTTGAGCAACCATCGCTGCTTAACGATGCCCACCTTGCGCGGACGGAAGAGCACCGATACTTCGCGCACCCCACCCGGCCGGAGGGGAAACGGCTCCTTGTCGAAGACGAACACATCGTCCGGCTTGCTGAAAAGCGATCGATTGTAGGCAAACGACTCGGCGCAGCTCCACCTAAAGTTGATCAACTCACGGCCGTTGTTCTCGATGCGTATTATGGTGCGATAGGAGTACTCGTACGGATTGCTCACGAACTTACGCTCCACAATGGGCGAAAATTCCGGCCGATGGCGCCGATACGTGGTGCCATTGAAGCTCACCGCCAGCTCCGAGGCGGCGGCTTGCAGAATTCTGGTTTTCGAAGTAGCCGCTGCTAACTTTTCGGCTGGCCTTTCGAGTACTTCGCTTGGCGTAATACTCGATATCGTATGACCCGATGTTCTCATACAGGGCTGCCTACGCCACAGATTCCGGCCGACCAACATAAGTTGATCGACCTTCGGACAGAACTCGAGAACATTTCTAATGCCTGTTTTCTCTAGCTGTAGACACGTCGCAAGCATTTGCGACTCGCCCCACGAGTTTCGCTTAGGGCCCGGACAATCCATCTCCTCACTAATCCGTTTTGGTAGACCAACAATTTCCACATAATCTAGCGATTCATTGGACACCAAGATATCTTTACGCGAGGTGTGATCCAGAATACGCTTGAAAGTCTGCTCCTCGCGATTGTCCAGATTGAAGAGCAGCTCCTCTGGCTGCCTGCCCGTGGCCAGGCATAGTCTTCGCTGCAGCGCTCGGCGCTTCTGAATCATATCCTTCCAGTAGAGCAAACGCTTGTCCACATGGCTAATGTCCAGGCCTGACATGCATTGCGCCTCAGGCTGCGATTCAGATTCCTCGTAACGCTGAAATATGCCATCGACAATATCATAGATCAAGCATTTATCTTCTTGCGCTTCCGAAATTTCGCCTATTTCAAAGATTTCCTGACTCGCCATGGCACCAATTTATGGGGATCAAAAGTTGAAACTAGCTAGGATTATGAGTATTATGTCATGTGTTCATAAACTGACAACAGGAGCAAGTGGATAGCGAGACCTGATTAAAATAAATCTCAAATCTAAAAATAAGATGAGCTATAAATAATTTAATTGAATTCTGGGCAATCAATTTGCTATATTCTTGTTCATTGTATATAACTTGAAATTTCATCCTGCATCAATTAAAATACAACTAAATTGCTGAGCTTCGGCCTTAGGTCGGCACCAGTTCAGTGCTCTCAATGACCGAAACGATATCCTCGGCAATATTGCACAAATGCGAATAGGTTTGTATATAGAGAGCATCGCGAAAGTATTTGGATCGATGCAGCTTCTTCATGACCGCAGCGTTGACCTTCTCATCGAAGACGATTTCAGTGAGATCGATGTCGGGAATAAGTTTGATTTTGGCAGTCGGATCCGGCTCCGCCTTGGGCGCAAATGGGTCCGCATACTCATTGTCCTCCTCCTCCTCTTCGCCCTCGTCCAAGAGGTGCATGTAGTAGCGCTGCAGTTCGGGCTTGTAGAAAGACTCCTCGACAATAAAGACAAGATCCTCCCATTCCTCGATGCAGTTGCATATGGCACCGCGTACATAAATGTATCTGGTGCGCTGTTTCTGCTCATCTATGCGCGAAACCATGTCCAGGCTAGGCGCTGCGCCAAGTAGGGGCTCCTGCAGGATCATCAGGTGTTTAAACATTTTCTCCCGCTCGGCTGTGTTCTCGATGCGCATGATCAGCATCTTGATGGTCTCCAAGCGCAGGTCCCAGGGCTTTTCGCGCGGTTTCTTCAAATGCTTGTGCATGCCCTTGAGCACCTCCAGATCGTCGAAGCGCATACAGTTGTAACCCGGATTCAAAGAGTTGAACGTCTCCCGCTCATCGAGGGCGCGCTCATAGGGACAACACGCGGGCGGCGGCTCTATCAACGGCACCAAATCGCCCAGATGTCCCGTCAGCTCGTCCATCACAACAGTGTTGGCAAAGCAAATCGTTTTGCAGTGCAGCTCCCGCAGCCGGGCCAAGTACTCCTTGGGTGGGGTGCATCGGCCATGGAAGCGCAGCTGCATCGATTCGTGATGCCCGCAGAAGATGCGCGGCTCGACCTGCAGGCGCCACAGCTCAACGGCCATGCTCACCTTCCGGGGCTGGTACAAAACAATCAGGTTATAGCACTGATTGGGGGTCAGTCGAAAGTTGTCCGTGTCGAAGAAGAACTCATTGTCCTTGGCCAGCAGCAGGGATCCGCGATTGTAGTAGTAGATGCCCTGCGACCAGCGAAACGAGAGCGTCTGCTTGCCAATGTTCTGGAGCCTGAGCACATGCTTAATGCGTCGCTGGTACGGCTCGCATGTGAATTTCGTGAGTATTTCAAAGCAGTCGGTGAAGGGCTTCTCGCACACAATATACTCCTTGCCGTTCACTTTGAGTGCCAGCTCGGGAGGCTCTGGCTCTGCCTCGAACTCGGTTATCGTCGGCTCCGTCCAGTCATCGCACAACATTTGATCCTCACCTGTGCAGGACTTATCGGTGCTAGTGGACACTGAATGTATGCTCTCCTCGCCGACCTTCTTAACTTTTGGCTGAGGCCGCAGCTTGTCTATGCTGATGCCCTTCACCTGTAGCTGCTGCAGATCGGGAAAGAATTCCACCACCTTGGTTATGTCATTGAATTGCTCATCGATGCGCTCATCTAGCACCGGAGAGTTCATCCAATTCCAGCTCCGCAGCTGGTACCGGGCAGCGTCTGAGCCCAACAGCTCCTCCTGCACAACTGCCGGCAGTCCGATGATCTCGACATTTTGCTCGCCCCGCAGCTCCGGCTGTGGCCAGGTTTCAGGCACGGGTTCCATCAGCCTGCAGGTGCAGGGGTCTTCGCGCTCTATCAGAGCACTGACTGGCTTCTTGGCCAGGTTGTCGGGCTTAACACGCTCGGCGTAGCTCATGAGTCGTTTAACCGTCTCCTTGTTGCGATTGTCAAGCGTCGAGGAACGATTGAAGAGCACCTGCTCTGGGGTTTTGCCGGTCTCGACTTCGACACGATTCTGCATCTTACGACGCGTCTGTAGCATGTCATGCCAGTACTGCAGTCGCTTGTCCACATGCGATACAGAGTCTCTTTGCTTGAGCTCCTCGAATTTGGGAATGTCACAGGACGACGATGTCTCGGGAAAATGTCCCCGTCGCTCCGCAAAGATTGCGTTCAATATTTCCTCGACAATGCGCTCACTGTACTGAGTGATGCAGGGGCCAGCCTTAAACTGGTCAGTCGAAAAACCCCCAGGGAATTGAAGAGATGAATGCGTATTGGGATTCAAGTTGATCATTGTGAATGGCTCATCGTCGTCCATGTTGTGATTGCTGGGTAGTGTGCGTCGATCCCCAATGCTGCAAGCCTCCTTCAAGTCGCATCCACTTGAAGTGTTGTGGTCGTTCATGGTCGGAGAAATAAGTATACAAATACAATTGAAACTAGTTGAAATATTCCAATCAGGTATATTTAGAGAATGATTTCGATTTGGAATCTCTAAAAAAAAGTACAAAAATCGAAACTCGATTTGAAGTGAGAAACGAGGCAGACGAGCACTAGATGGACATTTTGAGTAAATTCCTAAACCTTTTTGGTACTCTCAATGGCAGACACAATATTTTCGACAGCATCGCAGACCAGCGTGTAGGTTTGTATGAAGAGCGAGTCCTTGAAGTACTTGCTGTGCAAAACCTTTCGGGAGATTAGCCACTCCACATATACCGAATCGGACGGCATCTGTTCGCCCTTCTGGGCCAAGTCGTTGATGTAGACCTGCAGCTCGGACTTGAAGAACTGCTGGCCCAATCCCTCGCTCTGTATCTCCCAGTTCTCGATGGTGCTGCTGATGATGCCGCGCACATAGAGATAGCACGAGCGCTCCTGCTGCTGGCTCAGATGCAGATCCTCGTAGAATTCGCCAGAATTGCAGCGCATGGGAGCCAGCACCTCGACGAGTATGTTCTGCAGAGACTCACGTTGCTGCACCTCGTGCTGGTAGATGCACTGCCTCAACGTGTCCAGGCGATAGTCCCAGGGCGGCTGGCGTGGCTTCTTCACCAGCATGTAGAGCTCCTTGAGTGTCTCCAGATCCGCATAGCGCTCGACTTTGAAGCCTGGATTTTGGGCAGTAAATAGTTCGCGTTCGTCCAGCTGACGCTCATAGGGGCACTTTAGATAGCAATTCTCCACAATGGGCGCCAGCTCAGCATGTAAGGAGGCCAGGCGCTCAGTGAACTGGGTCTGCTGCTTGTCTATGATCAGCTGCTGGTCCCGCTCGAGTCGCTCGCGATAGGCCACGGGCGTTGTGCAAACGCCATGGAAGCGCACATAGAGACGCCGCATGCCACAGATGGCCGAGCGTGTCAGATTCATGCACCAGCGCTGCTTCTTTATGCCCACCCACATGGGCTGGTACATGACGTCGATGCGACGCTGTGTTCCCGGCAGCAGCACAAAGGGCTGGGCGTCGAACAGGAACTCGTTGTTCAGCACCAGGTGCTGCTGCAGCTCCTTCTTGTAGATGGCGCACGACTGCCAGCGCACCTGGATGAGGCAGTTGCCGATGTTCTCCAGATGGACGATGGTCTTGCGCATGCGCTGCAGCGGATCGCATTGGAAGAATATCTGCAAGTCATCGCTGAGAATGCCATGATCGACGCCAAAGCCAAAGACACGCCCATTGATCTTAACCGCATTGAGAGCAGGCACTACGGTTGCCTTGACCTCGGCCACCGGAGGGCGCGGAATTTTGGACTTGATTATCGATTTCGATGGCGATAGCGATCGAGATCGCGATTGCGATTGCGATGGCGGTGGCGTTTGCTGTGCCTCGTCGACTGTTTCGGTCGACACCTTGTATATAAGATCTTCGCCAACTGTTTGGCTCTCCAGCACCTTTTGCTTGCAGCGCTTGGACGCCGATGCGACCTGCAGTTGATCGAAGTCTGGACAATATTGGAGAACACGCATAATGTTTTCCTCCTGCTCCTCGAGCCGCTTGCCGAGCGCCTCGGAGCGCTGCCATTTGCTCTCGGCCGGATGCAGTGTGTCGGCCAGTTCGATTTGTGCCACCTCCGGGAAGCCCACGAACTCAAAGTCCGGCAGCTTAGGCTCGGTCAGGGGCAATTCGGCCAGCTGGCGGCAATGCGCCGGATCCTGCCGCATCTTTAATAACGGCTTTTTCTGAGTCGGCGGCGGCCCCTCGCTGCGCTCGGCCGTATCAATTAGACGGATGAGCATCCTTTTGGTCTGCGCATCGATGGTCGCATGGCGATTGAAGAGGACATCCTCCGCACGCTTGCCCGTCTGTCGTTCGATGCGCCTTTGCAGCAGTTTGCGTTCGTGGAGCATTTTCTTCCAGCACTTGAGACGCGGATCCAAGTCGTCATCATCGTCGTCGTAGTCATCTTGAATGCATTCGTCCAGCTTCTTACGAATTTTGGGAAGCACCTGACAGTCACTGCTGCTCACGTTAACTCCAAAGATTTGGGCCTTTTTTATCACATCGCAGACTTCGTTCACCAATTCGTGTGCCACACAGTCCGGCACCGGTTTCCGGGTGTCGCACACATTCCTTGCTGATAGGAAGTTTATTTTGGTCACAAGCGATTTATCTGTTGTGTCGGTTAACAGGTTCTCCATGGACTCCATGTTGAGTTCATGCACATCTTTTTTATTGTTTTCTGCAATTGCCTCCATATAGCTGCAGATATTTGATTACCCTCTATGCAAGTTGAGTATGTATTGTATCCAAAAAATAAATATATATATGTATAATTATAATACTGACTGACGAGCTCAGCATTCGATGTGACTTTTAGCATTCTTCGATCAACTTACTTGGCATACAAAACTGAGCAAAAGTAAGATCTTGCCAAGGTTTCGATGGTAATGGGGTGGAAATGAAAAAAAAAAAACTTGTAAACATCTTTGTCTATCGATGATATAGCTGAAGTTAAATTAATG